TTATAATGTGACAATGATATAAGGGTAACGTTATTTTTCAGGGTATTACCATTTGCAGAAGCCCGAGGTCTTCCATTAACTGCCCGACGAAGGAGGGCATTTGTAAAGACCGAGGGCTTCTGCAAATGATAATGCCCTGAAAAATAGCGTTACCGTTATTATAGCTAAAATGGATGGAATTTGCCATAAGATAAAAAGAAACAACAATATCGGTTTTGAAACATTCACTGCAATCAACACGAATGTCACTGACCCACTTTTACAAATATGGTGACGCCAGAGAACAAACCAGACGACGTCACTATTGACCGTAACGTCACCGTTCCCAATCCTATGACGTCGCCTAACAACGGGTGTGATAATGGCCCGTCGTCAAGCAATATGAGGGCATAATCAAGTTACAGTGGCCCGCTCATTTCTGATAACATGCGGGCTGTTTAATGATAATTCTATCCATTTTAGCTATAATATAAGGGTAACGCTATTTTTCAGGGCATTACCATTTGCAGAAACCTGAGGTCTTCCATTAGCTGCCCGACGAAGGAGGGCGGTTTCAGAAACATTTATTGTTTTAACCTGTTTCTTTTCAAAATTTATCTCCATCGAATGGGTACCCGGTAGGATGAGATGGTAATGATGCTGTTTATGAATGACGACATGTACTGGCTGTACAAGCAGAATCTTTTCAGCAAAGGTTTCAGAAACATTTATTGTTTTAACCTGTTTCTTTTCAAAATATATCTCCATCGAATGGGTACACGGTAGGATGAGGCGGCAATGATGCTGTTTTTGAATGGCGACATGTACTGGCTGAACAAGCAGAATCTTTGTTGAAAAGATTCTGCCTGTTCAGCCAGTTTTTGTTTTAACTTGTTTTTTTAAATCAACTTGGTGCATGACAGTTTCAGTATTCTTATTCGTATTTCATGTCAGTGTGCGTTAAAAGAATATCTTATGATTGAAGAAAACTTGTCAAACGTTTCATTGCAGCAACGACAAAAATAGGGATCCATCTTGCTTTACTTCCCTGCAAAAATAGAACACACCATGCTTATTGAAACCGTTCTTAAAAAGTTATTACACAAGTCAACTTGTGGAAAGGGCACGGACCGATGTTTGGGAAGTGTATTCCACCGCTAAACTTGCTGTTGTAGTAAGCGTACGCCTTTTTCTCAGGGGTATAGGCCCCGGGTAGGTATCTTTCAATGAAACGTTTGTAAAACCTACACTTCTCTTAAAAAGGATCTTCTCAAGATTTGAAGTTAAGTGATTAATGTTTACTGTATTTAATCATAACACATAATTGCAACTAATTTCAGGGAATATTAAATGCTGGAATTCCTACAGGGAGACCAGCATGGTACTAGGGATCTACTCGTCCTGGAATTCCTACAGTGAGACCAGCATGGTACTTGGGACCTACACATCCTGGAATTCCTACAGGGAGACCAGCATGGTACTTGGGACCTACAAATCCTGGAATTCCTACAGGGAGACCAGCATGGTACTTGGGACCTACTCGTCCTGGAATTCCTACAGGGGACCAGCATGGTACTGGGGACCTACTCGTCCTGGAATTCTTACAGGGAGACCAGCATGGTACTTGGGACCTACACATCCTGGAATTCCTACAGGGAGACCAGCATGGTACTTGGGACCTACTCGTCCTGGAATTCCTACAGGGAGACCAGCATGGTACTTGGGACCTACACATCCTGGAATTCCTACAGGGAGACCAGCATGGTACTTGGGACCTACTCGCCCTGGAATTCCTACAGGGAGACCAGCATGGTACTTGGAATCTACTCATCCTGGAATTCCTACAGGGAGACCAGCATGGTACTTGGGACCTACACATCCTGGAATTCCTACAGGGAGACCAGCATGGTACTTGGGATCTACTCATCCTGGAATTCCTACAGGGAGACCAGCATGGTACTTGGGACCTACTCGTCCTGGAATTCCTACAGGGAGACCAGCATGGTACTTGGGACCTACTCTTCCTGGAATTCCTACAGGGAGACCAGCATGGTACTTGGGACCTACTCGTCCTGGAATTCCTACAGGGAGACCAGCATGGTACTTGGAATCTACTCATCCTGGAATTCCTACAGGTAGACCAGCAAGGTACTTGGGACCTACTCGTCCTGGAATTCCGATAGGGAGACCAGCATGGTACTTGGGACCTACTCGTCCTGGAATTTCTACAGGGAGACCAGCATGGTACTTGGGACCTACTCGCCCTGGAATTCCTACAGGGGACCAGCATGGTACTAGGGATCTACTCGTCCTGGAATTCCTACAGGGAGACCAGCATGGTACTTGGGACCTACTCGTCCTGGAATTCCTACAGGGAGACCAGCATGGTACTTGGGACCTACTCGTCCTGGAATTCCTACAGGGAGACCAGCATGGTACTTGGAATCTACTCATCCTGGAATTCCTACAGGGAGACCAGCAAGGTACTTGGGACCTACTCGTCCTGGAATTCCTACAGGGAGACCAGCATGGTACTTGGGACCTACTCGTCCTGGAATTCCTACAGGGGACCAGCATGGTACTTGGGACCTACACGTCCTGGAATTCCTACAGGGGACCAGCATGGTACTTGGGACCTACTCGTCCTGGAATTCCTACAGGGAGACCAGCATGGTACTTGGAATCTACTCATCCTGGAATTCCTACAGGGAGACCAGCAAGGTACTTGGGACCTACTCGTCCTGGAATTCCTACAGGGATACCAGCATGGTACTTGGGACCTACTTGTCCTGGAATTCCTACAGTGAGACCAGCATGGTACTTGGGACCTACACATCCTGGAATTCCTGCAGGGAGACCAGCATGGTACTTGGAATCTACTCATCCTGGAATTCCTACAGGGAGACCAGCATGGTACTTGGAATCTACTCGTCCTGGAATTCCTACAGGGAGACCAGCATGGTACTTGGATTCTACTCGTCCTGGAATTCCTACAGGGAGACCAGCATGGTACTTGGGACCTACTCGCCCTGTTGTTCCTGTGACTTAGACCATCATAGTACTGGAGTACTGTCCGGCATCCCAATGGAGAGAATTCCTGGAATTCCAGCAGGGAGACCTTTATGGTACATGGGACCAACTCGTCCCGGAATACCAAGGAGACCAGTATGATACATGGGACCTATGGTGTCTGGACATTCCAGCAGGGAGACCAGTATTGTACTGGGGACCTATGGTGTCTGGACATTCCTGCAGGGAGACCAGTATTGTACTGGGGATCTATGGTGTCTGGACATTCCAGCAGGGAGACCAGTATTGTACTGGGGACCTATGGTGTCTGGACATTCCAGCAGGGAGACCAGTATTGTACTGGGGACCTATGGTGTCTGGACATTCCAGCAGGGAGACCAGTTTTGTACTGGGGACCAACATTTCATTGATAAAGTAGCTGGATGACTTCATTGATGGATAACTAGCTGGATGACTTCATTGAAGGATTACTGGATGACTTCATTGATAAACAAGTAGCTGGATCACTTCATAGATGCATAAATGGATCACTTCATAGATGGACAACTGGATCACTTCATTGAAGGGTAACTGGATCACTTCATAGATGGATAACTGGATCACTTCATAGATGGATAACTGGATCACTTCATAGATGGATAACTGGATCACTTCATTGAAGGGTAACTGGATCACTTCATAGATGGATAACTGGATCACTTCATAGATGGATAACTGGATCACTTCATTGAAGGGTAACTGGATCACTTCATTGAAGGACAACTGGATCACTTCATAGATGGATAACTGGATCACTTCACTGAAGGACAACTGGATCACTTCATAGATGGATAACTGGATCACTTCATTGAAGGACAACTGGATCACTTCATAGATGGATAAATGGAAATGGAAATAAGACGTGAGCTCTGAATTTCAGATTGTCTTTATTATAAATAATTACATGAAGATACATACATGGTTAACTATGCAACACAGTAGAAGCCGGTCTTAATGAGATCCAGTGTAATATCTCTTCCTCTTTACCAACAGAAATAATGGGTTCAAAGCATAAAAGATCTTGAATTAAGGGGTTTCGAGGACTTGTAATCTACAATCTTTCTGCTCATTCCAATACCATCCAACCACCTGCCAACACAGTCCTACCCCATCTATCTACCCACACAAGTCTCTCCCCAATGAATATTTCCCACACCATCCTACCCCATCCATCCAAACCTCTCCCATACCAATCCCATCCCGCTTTACCCACCCACCGACCCAGACAGTCCTGACCCATCAAAAAAAAGCCATCCAAACCTCTCCCCCGCCAATTCCATCCCACTCTACCCACACACCAACCCATCCACCCACACAGTCCTGACCCATCCATCTCGCCATCCAAACCTCTCCCCTACCATCTCCCCACTCCGTACCCCACACAATCTCCCCACTCAATCACGCCCAGCCCATCTCCCCACTCCGTCCCCCCGCCCCACCCGAACTCAATCACCTGCCCATTTTCCCCACTCAGTACCCCACCCAATCTCCCCACTCAGAAACAATCTCTTCCATCGTTGGATCTACATTATCAGAGCTCATCCACAACTTCAGGATCTGCAATAACATTCATCCCACATCACTGCAACCCAGTGTTTGAAATAAATCTTTTTGTCCGGCTGGTATTATGGACTATTTTGGCTGGACTAACCAGTCTATGCATAGTCCAATCAAAATCGTGCATCGAAATCGTTCGTAAACTGTCCTGAAGATTTCGGTCGATTGCAGGATTTGCAAAGCATGTGCACCGCCAACTCGTTGTCAACAGATATTTTCCAAATCTTTTCATGTTTTTAATCAAGGTGCTCACGCATTGCGCGATGTAAGACCCGTTTTATCACAACATAGACCTTGATTATCGATCAGATCGTCTTGACTGGGTGCCAGTGTTTTGTTTCAAGCAAATGCAAGTGATACGAGAGGTGGAATCTGATTGGTCTAAAGGAGAGGCTCAGAAGGGACATAACTCGTAATAACCACTGGTGGCGCTACGATAGAGCCCAGGAATTCCAGCCTAGTTCGGCAAGGGTGGAAACTGGACTTTTAAAGTCAGTTAACTCTCTTGCCTCGGGGAGATGCAGGCCACAAGGACCTACCAAATTTGAAACTATGGGCCAGACACAAGATCCACCTGCCACGGGCCTACGGGCAGGCGCCTATTTCGAACACTGCTCCAACCCACAACACAAACAGGTGGGCCCCATCCAGGTGTGGTGAGATCAGGACAACGGGGTGTACACTGCAGTATTCTCATCATCAGCCCAGAAAGGACTGATCACCATCAGCTCCAGTTTTACTGGCATACATCCCTGACATACCAAATATATCCGTGACAAAGTCTCCCGTTGCACTGTCACACCAATACAACACAATATCGATCTGCAAAATTTCAGAATGTTACACCAATTCTCTGGAACATGATAACCTCCAAGAGGAGATTAATCATTCTTCTTTGATCTGCAACGTTTCTTTCAACACCATTTCACCTCACCTCACCTCACATATCCGTTCAATGTGCAACTGTCCTGCAATAACAATCCAAACACATTTAGACATTCTGATCTGCAAGATCTGCAAATGTTACAATGGTCTTCAGTTCCACATAATCCATCAAAAACACATTTAGACATTCTGATCTGCAAGATCTGCAATGTTACAACGGTCTTCAGTTCGGCACAATCCATCCAAACACACTAAAGGGTGCAAGAATAAAAGAATCTCCTGTTCCAAGAACTTGTGGAGATGAGATCTGGAGAAGTGCCGCTCCTTGTTGCCTCATGAGCGCGACACGCTGAGCGAGTTGTTTTGAGCGGTGAGCGCCAGAATCCTCTTCCCAAGCTGTGAGTTGTGCTGCTTCAGGTAACGGATCATGTCAGCCTGCTTCTCCAACACCTGGTCCACATAGTTCTCGTCTCTGAAACAGTAACATGGAGTGAGTCTCTGTCTACAACAAAAACATGGAGTGAGTCACTGTCTACAACATAAACACCGAGTGAGTCACTGTCTACAACAAAAACATGGAGTGAGTCACTGTCTACAACATAAACATGGAAGTGAGTCACTGTCTACAACATAAACATGGAGTGAGTCTCTGTCTACAGTATAAACATGGAAGTGAGTCTCTGTCTACAACATAGACATGGAGTGAGTCACTGTCTACAACAAAAACATGGAGTTAGTCACTGTCTACAACATAAACACGGAGTGAGTCAATGTCTACAACATGAACATGGAGTGAGTCACTGTCTACAGCTTAAACATGGAGGTGAGTCACTATCTACAACATAAACATGGAGTGAGTCACTGTCTACAGCTTAAACATGGAGTGAGTCACTGTCTACAACATAAACATGGAGTGAGTCACTGTCTACAACATAAACAAGGGGTGAGTCTCTGTCTACAACATAAACATGGAGGTGAGTCACTGTCTACAACATAGACATGGAGTGAGACTGTCTACAACAAAAACATGGAGTGAGTCACTGTCTACAACATAAACATGGAGTGAGTCACTGTCTACAGCATAAACATGGAGTGAGTCACTGTCTACAACATAAAGAAGGGGTGAGTCTCTGTCTACAACATAAACATGGAGAGAATGTCTGTCTACAACATAAACATGGAGTGAGTCTCTGTCTACACCATAGACATGGAGTGAGTCACTGTCTACAACATACACAGGGAACCAGGAAGTGAGTCTCTGTCTACAACATAAACATGGAGTGAGTCTCTGTCTACACCATAGACATGGAGTGAGTCACTGTCTACAACATAAACATGGAGTGAGTCACTGTCTACAACATAAACAGGGAACCAGGAAGTGAGTCTCTGTCTACACCATAAACATGGAGTGAGTCACTGTCTACAACATAAACATGGAGTGAGTCACTGTCTACAACATAAACAGGGAACCAGGAAGTGAGTCTGTCTACATCACAAACATGGAACCAGGAAGCGAGTCTGTCTACATCAAAAACATGGAACCAGGAAGTGAGTCTGTCTACATCACAAACATGGAACCAGGAAGTGAGTCTGTCTACATCACAAACATGGAACCAGGAAGTGAGTCTGACTACAACACAAACATGGAACCAGGAAGTGAGTCTGTCTAGAACACAAACATGGAACCAGGAAGTGAGTCTGTCTACAACACAAACATGGAACCAGGAAGTGAGTCTGTCTACATCACAAACATGGAACAAGGAAGTGAGTCTGTCTACATCACAAACATGGAACCAGGAAGTGAGTCTGTCTAGAACACAAACATGGAACCAGGAAGTGAGTCTGTCACCAACACAAACATGGAACCAGGAAGTGAGTCTGTCTACAACATTATTAAACTTGGAAGAAACAGGTACCTGCAAGAACTGGTAATGATAATGACATAAAGATATTACCCTGTAGGAACTGTTCTTAATCACTCCTCAGGCAAACAGGTATATTTTCTGTAAGCACATATAACACATCCCTACCTGAAGCCGATGTCTGAAGACTGGGACTGAGATTGGATGAAACTGCTCAGCATCTCGTCCTGATTCACGTCGGGGTGTGCCTGGCGCCGGTTGAACTGGAAGGTCCTTGCTGCAGGAAACGATGAGTGAGTGGGTGAGAGAGTGAGAGTGTGTTTGTGGATGGATGGGTGAGAGTGAGTGAGTGAACATGTGAGTGTGTATTGAGTGAGTGAATGTGTTGGTGGATGGGAGAGAATGAGTGAGTGAGTGAACATGTGAGTGTGTTTTGAGTGAGTGAATGTGTTGGTGGATGGGAGAGAATGAGTGAGTGAGTGAACATGTGAGTGTGTATTGAGTGAGTGAATGTGTTGGTGGATGGGAGAGAATGAGTGAGTGAGTGAACATGTGAGTGTGTTTTGAGTGAGTGAATGTGTTGGTGGATGGGAGAGAATGAGTGAGTGAGTGAACATGTGAGTGTGTTTTGAGTGAGTGAATGTGTTGGTGGATGGGAGAGAATGAGTGAGTGAGTGAACATGTGAGTGTGTTTTGAGTGAGTGAATGTGTTGGTGGATGGGAGAGAATGAGTGAGTGAGTGAACATGTGAGTGTGTATTGAGTGAGTGAATGTGTTGGTGGATGGGAGAGAATGAGTGAGTGAGTGAACATGTGAGTGTGTATTGAGTGAGTGAATGTGTTGGTGGATGGGAGAGAATGAGTGAGTGAGTGAACATGTGAGTGTGTTTTGAGTGAGTGAATGTGTTGGTGGATGGGAGAGAATGAGTGAGTGAGTGAACATGTGAGTGTGTTTTGAGTGAGTGAATGTGTTGGTGGATGGGAGAGAATGAGTGAGTGAGTGAACATGTGAGTGTGTATTGAGTGAGTGAATGTGTTGGTGGATGGGAGAGAATGAGTGAGTGAGTGAACATGTGAGTGTGTTTTGAGTGAGTGAATGTGTTGGTGGATGGGAGAGAATGAGTGAGTGAGTGAACATGTGAGTGTGTATTGAGTGAGTGAATGTGTTGGTGGATGGGAGAGAATGAGTGAGTGAGTGAACATGTGAGTGTGTTTTGAGTGAGTGAATGTGTTGGTGGATGGGAGAGAATGAGTGAGTGAGTGAACATGTGAGTGTGTATTGAGTGAGTGAATGTGTTGGTGGATGGGAGAGAATGAGTGAGTGAGTGAACATGTGAGTGTGTTTTGAGTGAGTGAATGTGTTGGTGGATGGGAGAGAATGAGTGAGTGAGTGAACATGTGAGTGTGTATTGAGTGAGTGAATGTGTTGGTGGATGGGAGAGAATGAGTGAGTGAGTGAACATGTGAGTGTGTTTTGAGTGAGTGAATGTGTTGGTGGATGGGAGAGAATGGGTGAGTGAGTGAACATGTGAGTGTGTATTGAGTGAGTGAATGTGTTGCTTGATGGGTGAGTGAGTGAACATGTGAGTGTGTTTTGAGTGAGTGAATGTGTTGGTGGATGGGAGAGAATGAGTGAGTGAGTGAACATGTGAGTGTGTATTGAGTGAGTGAATGTGTTGGTGGATGGGAGAGAATGAGTGAGTGAGTGAACATGTGAGTGTGTTTTGAGTGAGTGAATGTGTTGGTGGATGGGAGAGAATGGGTGAGTGAGTGAACATGTGAGTGTGTATTGAGTGAGTGAATGTGTTGCTTGATGGGTGAGTGAGTGAACATGTGAGTGTGTTTTGAGTGAGTGAATGTGTTGGTGGATGGGAGAGAATGAGTGAGTGAGTGAACATGTGAGTGTGTATTGAGTGAGTGAATGTGTTGGTGGATGGGAGAGAATGAGTGAGTGAGTGAACATGTGAGTGTGTTTTGAGTGAGTGAATGTGTTGGTGGATGGGAGAGAATGAGTGAGTGAGTGAACATGTGAGTGTGTTTTGAGTGAGTGAATGTGTTGGTGGATGGGAGAGAATGAGTGAGTGAGTGAACATGTGAGTGTGTTTTGAGTGGGTGAATGTGTTGGTGGATGGGAGAGAATGGGTGAGTGAGTGAACATGTGAGTGTGTTTTGAGTGAGTGAATGTGTTGGTGGATGGGAGAGAATGAGTGAGTGAGTGAACATGTGAGTGTGTTTTGAGTGAGTGAATGTGTTGGTGGATGGGAGAGAATGAGTGAGTGAGTGAACATGTGAGTGTGTATTGAGTGAGTGAATGTGTTGCTTGATGGGTGAGTGAGTGAATGTGTGGATGGATGGGTGAGAGTGAGTGAGTGAACATGTGAGTGTGTTTTGAGTGAGTGAATGTGTTGGTGGATGGGAGAGAATGAGTGAGTGAGTGAACATGTGAGTGTGTATTGAGTGAGTGAATGTGTTGGTGGATGGGAGAGAATGAGTGAGTGAGTGAACATGTGAGTGTGTATTGAGTGAGTGAATGTGTTGGTGGATGGGAGAGAATGGGTGAGTGAGTGAACATGTGAGTGTGTTTTGAGTGAGTGAATGTGTTGGTGGATGGGAGAGAATGAGTGAGTGAGTGAACATGTGAGTGTGTATTGAGTGAGTGAATGTGTTGGTGGATGGGAGAGAATGAGTGAGTGAGTGAACATGTGAGTGTGTTTTGAGTGAGTGAATGTGTTGGTGGATGGGAGAGAATGGGTGAGTGAGTGAACATGTGAGTGTGTTTTGAGTGAGTGAATGTGTTGGTGGATGGGAGAGAATGAGTGAGTGAGTGAACATGTGAGTGTGTATTGAGTGAGTGAATGTGTTGGTGGATGGGAGAGAATGAGTGAGTGAGTGAACATGTGAGTGTGTTTTGAGTGAGTGAATGTGTTGGTGGATGGGAGAGAATGAGTGAGTGAGTGAACATGTGAGTGTGTTTTGAGTGAGTGAATGTGTTGGTGGATGGGAGAGAATGAGTGAGTGAGTGAACATGTGAGTGTGTTTTGAGTGAGTGAATGTGTTGGTGGATGGGAGAGAATGAGTGAGTGAGTGAACATGTGAGTGTGTTTTGAGTGGGTGAATGTGTTGGTGGATGGGAGAGAATGGGTGAGTGAGTGAACATGTGAGTGTGTTTTGAGTGAGTGAATGTGTTGGTGGATGGGAGAGAATGAGTGAGTGAGTGAACATGTGAGTGTGTTTTGAGTGAGTGAATGTGTTGGTGGATGGGAGAGAATGGGTGAGTGAGTGAACATGTGAGTGTGTTTTGAGTGAGTGAATGTGTTGGTGGATGGGAGAGAATGAGTGAGTGAGTGAACATGTGAGTGTGTTTTGAGTGAGTGAATGTGTTGGTGGATGGGAGAGAATGGGTGAGTGAGTGAACATGTGAGTGTGTTTTGAGTGAGTGAATGTGTTGGTGGATGGGAGAGAATGAGTGAGTGAGTGAACATGTGAGTGTGTTTTGAGTGAGTGAATGTGTTGGTGGATGGGAGAGAATGGGTGAGTGAGTGAACATGTGAGTGTGTTTTGAGTGAGTGAATGTGTTGCTTGATGGGTGAGTGAGTGAATGTGTGGGTGTTTTTGAGTGCATGGATGTGTGGGAAGGTTTTGGATGGGTGAGTGTGTATGTGTTTGATGAGTTAGTGAGTGAGTGAATGAAAGTGTGGGTGTGTTTGAGTGCATGGATGTGTGGGAAGGTTTTGGATGGGTGAGTGAGTGTGTATGTTTTTGATGAGTTAGTGAGTGAGTGAATGAAAGTGTGGGTGTTTTTGAGCGCATGGATGTGTGGGAAGCTTTTAGATGGGTGAGTGAGTGAAATCAGGCCACCCCATTTCCTGTCGGCTCTACCATGTGTGAGCTGGAGACTCTGTGTAAGTAGGTTGTCCAATAACTGTTAATTAAGTTACACATACATCCTTTAAAAGAGGAAGTTCACAAAACTGAAACAAATAATCTTTCACAATATTTGAGATTACAACAAATGACAAAATTCTGCAAATTAAATAAAACGGAAATCATTAATTTGATGAAACCTGAGAGACAGGAGTCTAATGAACAAAATAGTTATAATTTGTACATACCAATTAATAAATACTGTAAGATATACAATCTACAATATTTCTGCTTCTTTGTTCGACACGCTAGGTGCAAAAGCGTTTGGTAAAGTGAATGTCTCCAATATTAAGACAAGAAGAGTTATCTCCCTTGAAATCACTTTCTGCACACCTACCATCAATCGGGGATTTCAATGTCAGAGTGAAGAAAATCAACAATTCATGCTCTCAACTGAGTGTATTTCTTACTGGAATAGAAATGCCAGTTACATGTAAGGATCTTCAATTTTTACGAGTTTTAATGATTCAAACAGCAGAATGTCCATTCATAATTTGTGTGTGTATAGGACACGATACTTTGTCAAACTACAGCTTGGTGAAACTCCTTCTGGGTCAGTAAAACTAAATCTGGTTTGGCTCATTATGGATCGGAAATGTGACCATAATGCTCGCCATGGGTGGATACAGAGGGGGGGTGCGGGGGTGCGCCCCCCCCCCTTTTTATTTCGAAAAAAATCTTTATTTCTGTATAAATTACCACCAAAGACAATAAATAGATCTTAATTGTGCACCCCCCTTTTAAAAAAAGCTGTATCCGCCCATGCTCGCTACGGCTACACACATCTTTTAGATGGACTGACGAGTCTTTGCATAGTCAAATCAAAATTGTGTAATGAATCGAGATCCAGTTCATTAACAACATGGCGACTCGGGAGATATTGGTCAATTGCAGGGTTTGCAAAGCATGTGTACGGGAACTGGGCGTCGACAGATATTTTCCAAATCCTTTCATGTTTTAAATGAGGTGAGGTGAAATGGGGTTTAACGCTGCGTCCAAGATTATTGCACTTATATAGCGACGTGCATGTACATGTGTGTGTGTGTGTGACTGCTTGTACTAGTCCGGACTGATACCGATTTATAGTACTAGCTCACTTAGATACCATGCCGCAGTTTAACATGAATACCCCACTCAGACACAGTATACTGACTCCGAGCCAACCAGTCTTTGTTTTAGCCCCTTAATGCTGAGCGCCAGACAGGGTAACAACAAGTACCATTTTTAAACGTGTATTGGTTAGACGCGGCCGGGGATCAAACCCTGGACCTTCTGCTCTCCGGGGGACGCTCTACCACTAGACCACAGAGGCGGTCCTGTTTTAAATGAAGGTGCCTTGATGCACATATAGATC